AAAGTGTGATACAGAAGTCATGCAAACTTTCCACCAGGGATCTAAAGGCTGGCAAACCCCCAGAATTCAGCTCTCTTTTCCTCTCTGCCTTTGCTCTCTAGTCTCCATTCTGTATCTTTCTTTCTTGGAATTTATTATTTTCTCACCTGCTTAAAAGAGGAAAGGTGAATTCTTTGATAAATGGCCTGAAGGATGATGTAGTTTCTCTCCATGGTCCTTTAAGATCTCTAAACTTTTCTAGGAAGTATACCACAATTTGGAAAACCTCTCTTCCAAAACAGAAACTGGAAAAAGTATTTTTGCTGAGAGGTTAAAATGACCATCCTTCAAAGTTTTCTTTAATTAAATAGGCCTCCTGTAACCCTGGAATAGAACATGCATCTTATAAATTCTCATGTCTACATACTTTAATGATTTTAGGGAAACTTCACTGCTGTGTGATGAGTTCCTTACTTAGGGGAAGAATCTCATGGTACGTGTATGTTCTGCTTAGCCTTGTCAACTTGGCTGAACTTAGAGGAAGTTCTTGATGGAGGAATTATTTAAACCAGTTTGGCCTGTAGGCAAGTCTGATGGGGGCTGTCTTGGTTGCTAATTGAAATATTGATGTAAGAGGACAAAGCCCACTGTGGGCACCACCATTCCCTGGGCATAGAGCCTTGGCCTGTATAAGAAAGCTAGCCAATCATCTGCCTGCATGACCCAGCATGCAGTTTGCTTTCTTCCACAACTTTTGCTTTGAATATCTCTCCTGTCTTCTATCAATGATAGGTTGTGTGTGACCTATAAGTTGAAATAAATCATTTTTCCTGTGACAAGCTTTTGGTCACAACAACAGGATAGAACCAGAACAACATATATGCAAAGAGACTTAGTTAGTGGAAACAAGCCAGTGCTCGCAGAAACACTGAAGCTCACTTAGTGACAGGCTTTCCCGTGATCCTCTCTGACTATGTAAACCTGTCCTAAGAAGCCCATATAATGGCTGAAGTCCCACCATGGCACTTTAGCTCTGATTTAAGGAGCAATAATATCTCCAGTACATGATCTTGTAAGGAGCTTGTGTAAGGGCAGGCATCTGTGATTCTCTGTGATGATAGTACCATAATTCCTAACAGATATTCCTATAAAGCATGTTATATTACCAACCAGGATGCAAACTTGTGCCTTTTCTTAGTCAATATTGCTATGCCTGAACTAATGATGTCCACCTACAAGAGATTGTTTTTGTCATGTGATCATACATGAGCTTTATGTCCCAGCATACCTTGCTCATGTTGACAATACAAGTGTCATTCTCTGAGGCCTGCCTCACTTCCTATTGGTATTATTCGAATTCAGCCACATAAGCTATGGACACTCACGGTAGTGTTGCACTTCCCAACAAGAAAGATGAGTCCAAAATGTCATAAAGATGGAACTGCCAAATCACATGTACAGTGATGATTTCATTGTGACACTATAATTTGTATATCACAGTAGTAGTAGTGAGAAGTGGAATAATGGGAACTAGGGAGATGGAGAGATGGCTCAGTGGAAAGAGCTCACCATACAAGTATGAGGACCTGAGTGCAGACTCACTGCACCCAGACAAAGGTCAGGAAGCTGTAGCAATCCATCCGTGTATGATCCCAGTGGTCCGGAGGTAAGAACGGGAGCCAGATGGGCAAGCTAGTTAACTCGCCTAACAAAGTCAGCATGCTGTTAGTACAAGGAAGAGACCTTGCTCCAGTTGGTGAGGTGAAAAAATAGAAATGCTTGATGTTACTTCTGGCCTCCACATACACTCACAGACATACAGGTGCTTGCATTCATACACACATGTGAAGGGTAGGATGGAGACATGGATCAGTGGTTAAGATCATGTACTGCTCTTGCAAAGGAGCCTAGTTAAATTCCCAGCACCCATTTTAGATGACCCCAACAGCCTCTAAGGCCATCTTCACAGGCTCAATGCCTTCTTCTGGCCTCCACAGGCTCTTGCACACATGTAAACATAATCCCATGTGGAAACATACATAACTGTAATTTAAAGGAATCATAAATCTTTTTAAAAAATAGGGAAATAAAGAGCCAGAGGGGAAGGTCTGTGATATAACAGTTGTACAGTGTGCTTACATCCCAAGGGCTGCAAAATGAAAGGAATGCACAAGTGGTGCTATCTGTGGCTTGAAGCCAATTGAGTAGCACATGCCTTTAGGAAGACAGGTGAGGACGTCCACACTGCAGGTAGAAAAACAGAACCCTGGGGCAATGAAAAGTCCGCAGAGATTTTGGGGTTCCCTGCATGATAAGATTTGATAGATTAGAAAAATCCAAAAAAAAGAAAAAGACTTGAAGAGCTACTCTGGTAAAACAGCAGGCCCTTAAAAGTGTCCTTGGAGGAATCAGAGTCAATCAAGGGAAGAAACAAACTGTCTGAAATTAAACAGCTCAGGGCATTCCAATGACACCAGGGATGCAGAGAAAGCTCATGTCTAGTATAGTCAGAGAACGAATGAACATGGCTTACTTGGTTTTGGATTTAAAAGATGATGACTTATCTTTGAAAAACTGAAGTCATTCAGAGGCAATGGAGGCAGGAGCTGAGTTGTAGCCATAGTAGGAGTTAGACAAAAGCTATTCTGAACTAGCATTCTCTGCACACAAAGTTATGCTGGGGACTCTATGTGTCTGAACTGCTAAATCTCGTTAGTAAACTTGTGAGGTAAATACTACACTATCCCACCACATAGACCACTCCTGAGGCCTCTCCAACAAGACAGAGATTGTTCATGTAAATATGAGAAGACTAAAGCGATGAGGCCTGGTTAGGTACACAGAATTCATCAGGCACCCCAGCCTAAGCTACTGTTCATTCCCCTTTTGCTATATGATAAGGGTCACTATGTAATTGGGTTAGCTCAGGTGGGATGAGAGGCAACTTCTTGAACATATGGAACTCAGAAGACAGGTCATGACTACTGGAACATGCAAGAGCAAATGGCAGTCCCAATGGCAGGATGGAGGGAAAGTAGAGGCTGTACCACAAAGTAGTTTCAAAATTAGAAAGATGCCAACATGTAGTGTGTGTGTGTGTGTGTGTGTGTGTGCACATGCTTGTGCACTAGCTCACTGTCTTGCTGCTTTTGGCCATAACTGAGAAGAGTGTACCAAGTGGTTGAGTATTTCCCAACGGATGCACTGCAGGGAGCTGTGTAGCCACTGAAATGAAGACTGGAGATAAACACTAAGGCTCATGGGTGAGAACAAGATGCAAAAGGGAACCGGGGCTCACCATCTTTGTTCATTTCTTCTTCTTGCTCTCTCCAGTAATTCCAGTCCTCTGTTGGGGAGGACAAAGACACATGCACACCTGTTAAAATCTGTGCTCGAGTTGGGCTGGGGAGGTACTTAACACAAGCATATGTTTGTAATCCTAGTGCAGGCAAGGCAGAGACAAGAGGATTCTTGAGGTTCATTGACCAGAGAGTCTAACTTAATTGGCAAATTCCAGGTACATGAGAAAGCTTTTCTTAAAAATCGAGATTAGAACAAGTGAAAAAGACAGGCAAGATGACCTCCAGTCTTCACAAGCATGTATACACACGCACACACACACACACACATACACACACACAAATACATACACATACAAACACATATACACACAAGAATACATACATAAATGCATACAACCAAACACATACACACATGCAAATGCACACACATACAAATACACACATGCAAACATACATACACACAAATACACAACCAAACACATACACACACACAAACACACGTATACACAAGTATACATACACACAGAAATACGTACTCATACAAATACAAACACTCACACAAATGCACATAACCAAACACATAGACACACAAATACACACATACACACACAAACACACATACCCACATGAATACATACACACACAAATACATATGCACACAAATGCATACACATATGAATACACAAACCAAACCCACAAACACACACACTCACACACACACACACACACACACACACACACACAAATACATACACACAAGTAATAAAGTGTTTAAAGGGTGCCATCTCTCACCAGTGTTGCACCTTGGAGCACTAACGTATTCTTTAGGTTACTGAAGGCTTAGTCAATAAAGATGACAAAGACCGGGCTACCTTTTTACAGTCAACCGTTTGGATCAAAGATTGCCCTAAGAACATCCAGTAGGAGAAACCAGAGCAAATGCATTAATTTATTTGTTATGTCTCTAATCCATAAGACTCACTGACTAAAAAGTTTTTCTTTAGTTCTATCAGTAGACAAAAGGTGTTTTCGGGCCTATAGAAACTTTCAATTGCTGAAAAAAAATCTTACACATCGCCTGCAAAGCCAGGTTAATTCAAGACCTCCCCGTGCAATGCTTCCATTTGAGACAGGTGTCTTAATTAAATAAACTAATAATTTTCGCAAGTAGAAGTAGAAAAGCATAATTATCCAATTTACTAATTGTTCCATTGTGTGAATTTGCATACTTTGTTTTGCCTGCCACACAAACAGTTTGTCTCAGTGTAGCCTACCGTTGGAATAATGGAACCCCTCTTGGGAGGAGCATTTTCTAAAGTGTACTAACAAACTGCACATGGGGCTTTTTAGTTAAATATGGTCGGAAAGTGCCAGGTTCAAGCAAATTGAATCATTTTTGTTTCTGTGGGAGGTTCAAGCCCTGTAATGAAGCCTTATGCAGGAATGGTTTCTCGGTTTCACAAGCACCAATACCGTGTTGTTAGTGCTATCTTGGCAGTGAAGGTCTTTGCTCATGAGTTACCCTCTTCAACACTCAGTAAGTGAGAAAAACAAAACAAAACAAAAGCTATACATTATGGCTTCGCCTCCCCCCCTCTCTCTCTTTCTCTCTTTCTCACCTCATATCTGTACCTTTTTCTCTTTCCCTGTGTCTCCCCCTTTCTCTCACATACAATCTAGCAAACATGTAAACCTCTTGTGTCCCCCTTTCATCCTAAGCATATCGACAGGACCCCATCCCTTCCACAGCTATGCAGTAACCCTGACTGCTTGTTCTAGGGTGGGCTGCACCGAAAGCTCACATGAATTGAGCATCTCCACTCCACAAGAAGGTAAAGTAATTTCAAAGGTCTTGACTTCCACATTTCAGTCATGAATAATAAAACAGGAGAAGAGCTAAATGCTGCGAGGCCATTTGCTGGAAAACCCCGACCTAATTTGATGACAAAGTGCATTGCCAGGCCATAATTGCTCCCATTTTTTGGGGGGGTGCGAAAATGAATCAAACTCCATAGCCTTTAATGACATGCATCTTTAATAGCTGTAATGCAGATTAATGGGCTTTTTAATTGCTGTTACATTGTTCATGCAAGAGCCTTGTCATTAATATGGAGCATCTGAAAGATTAATGAAAGCTTCCTCATTTTACTATGGCTCAGAAGTAAATCTAGAGACAGTCTGACTAAAAAGAATTGATTGTATGGCACAGTATGAAATTGAGAATCAAACGGTTGATTTCCATGGTCTCTTTTAACTGCTAAACACCAGCATGGGCAATGACTTCAAGAAGACAGTGCCTCCACATGCCAAACAGAGGCACAATTAATCCCTGTTCCTTTCCTCCCTCTTGAGTCTCTCTCCTGTTGTTCTTGGGATGTGCAAACTGTTGGTCTGAATTAATGTTTTAGAAAACATGGGTGAGGGCGGCAGTAGGGAAGAGAAAACACCTCAGGACTCCAAAAGTAAAAGCTTTGCTCAAACATCCAAACACACCTCCTCAAGAAACACAAGCTCTAGGAATGCTGAAGGAGCTGCTACTTCCTATTGCTGTCTCCTGTATGCTGCCTCGTAGGAAAGGCATTTAGACTTGAAAGCTTGGTCTTCAGGGCAAAAGTTAGTCTGCAAGATAGCTCTCTCTCTCTCTCTCTCACTCTTTCTCTTGCTCTCTCTCACTCTCTTGCTCTCTCTCGCTCTCTCTCACTCTCTCTTCTTCCCCTCTGTCTCTCTTCTGCTTCTCCTCCTCCTCCCTCCCCCATGCCATGCTTCCCTAAAACCTCCTTTCCTCTTTCTCCTTTTGCATCTCTTTACAAACCCCATTTGCATAGGAAATGTGTTACAAGTGTTAGAAGAGAGATGGTGAGAGGCAGGCAGAAGCCCATATGATGACATGAGAAGAAAGAGAGGATTTCGTGACATCTTTCTTGAGATCCTCTATTTCGTTTCATGCTTGCTCTGGACCAGAGTCCACTCCCCCTGCTGCACTGTCAGAAGCACCCACTACCCCTGTCTACTCTATTGAAGTGGCATTGTCTTCTGGGGCACAGCATTAGAATCCTGTTTTAAAGTCACTTCTACCGGCCTTCATCTGAGAAGTCTCCCACTGCTTCCTCTCCATCTACTTGTCTAGACTTTGCCCGATATTCCTCACTTCTGCTTCACAACCATTGCACCACGGGATTGGCCACTCATCTAGTGCCATTCCTTCGTCATTCTGTGAGCAATTCCCAAATCGCTTTTCCAAGGAGCCAAGCCTAATATGCAGAACAGTGTTTCTGTTTCTGCTTAGTTTTTGTTTTGTTTTGTTTTGTTTTTAATCTTCTGCTATTTCAATTCACTGGCTAGTGTAAATAAATCCTTTTCAACAGTCTAGTTTCAATATACAACTGATTCAAGTGTCCATTTCCAGGCCATTCCTGTAGTTGGAGAGTTTTTAAGGTTTCCCAGTTAGAAACTGCTCACCAGTGTTCCCAGAGTCACACACATGCTCCACCAAGCCAGGCACAATGATCTGCTCTAACAGGCTCTGCCCCATGAGGACATAATGGGTTAACAATACTTTTGATGAAGAAACCCAACTGCCAACTGTCAGTCAACTGAACGAGGGTAGGAACTCCCTATCCATCACAGATGCAAATTCTCAGAAATTCAGGACAGTTATTTAGCACCCTTCCTAAAGCAATTACTGACAAGCTGCCTGTGAGTCAGGAACACTTCCATGCACAGGACTACAGCTTTAGCCCATGATTTATTGGTTTGGGTCTGAAAAGTTTTACTTACAAAAGTAAACTAAAATTAGACTCTATTTTATTCCTCCACAGCACCTCAGGAGGTCCAGGCACCAGTCGTCACCGTGGCCTTTCCCAATTCCTTGTCATTCTTCTGGAGTCCACCCAGACAAGCAAATGGGATTATTACACAGTACTCCCTATACGTGGATGGGAGGCTGGTCTACACAGGCAAGGGACAGAGCTACACAGTCACAGGTAGGCCATCAGTCACCATCAGGTAATAGATTCACAAATATCCTTTCTAGATGAGCACTACATGTATTTTTCTGAATCAGGTGACTGACCTTTGCCTCCTTGGGACTTCAAGGGGAGCCTTGAGACTGTATTAGCCCAGAGGTTTCTGGATCCCACAGACCATGTGTTTGAATCTGAGTGTCAGTGTGACCCCATCCACATGGGTCTGTGATCTGACTGAATTGGAGACATCTTTAACCATCTCCATGATCACATGGCTACTTATTTGAAATATGCCTGCATGGATAATAATTTGAAGATGCAGAAGAATGGCTTGGTATAGCTCAAATCTTAAACCATTTGAAACAAAACATATATCACAGGGCCAGAATATCTGGCACATGAGAAAAATGAAACGAAAAACTTTCTAACTGCCAGAGGCTCACGATGAGCGCCATCTGGCATTTGCATTGTGTTTAGGGTGCTCGGTGTCTACCCAGACTAGTCACGTGATTATATTGTTGTCTTGCTGTGTTAGACAATGGGGATAGAGTATTACTCAACTGTTGATTGATTTCGATTTCGACATTGAGGTCTAGAGATACTGAGTTTTGTGAAAGATTAAAACAAGTTCCAGTCAAACTTAGAATTAGATATCAAGGCTTCACTTATTCGCATGAAAGCTGAGCACTAAGATGACAGATGTAAGCAGTATGCTCCTCCTTCCCTGGTATTCCTGGCTTTCTGGGACACATTCAGATCCCAGTGTGAGGTACTGCTGGGCAGTTGTATTCTCCCTTATATATTTTTCTCCTCTTTAGTGTGAGAACATGTAGCAGACAAGAGCTGTGACTTTTGTATTTTATTCAGAATTAGATGGACATCTGTGATATTTATTTCACAAGATGGATGTAGTCCCCATTTTACAGGTCAGGAAACTGAGATACAGAAGGATTAAGGTTGCACAGCCAGTAAGTGACAGACATGGATACCGACCGAAGCAGTCTAGCTAGCTGAAGTCTGTGGACTTATGTGATGTCTTCTCTGAGTTGTCAGTTCTGTATCCATAACAGAAACATAGTAGTTAACCCTCCCTGTCAGCTGGACTGAATACAGAATCACCTAGGCAACACAGCACTGGGTGTATTTGTGAAGGTCTTGCAGAGAAACTTAGCTGAGAAAGGAACCACAAGCCAAAATGTAGCTTTGAGATGTGTTCCCTAGGGTTACACCCAAGACTTAATAAAAACAAAAGGAGAAAAAGCCAGATGAATGCTGCCTTCCTCCATTTCCTAACGTCCACAAGCTGCCCAATATCCTACCTGCCATGCCATCCCTGTGGTGATGACTTTCCTACCAACATCCATGAGCCAAGATAAACCCATTCTTCCTCTCCTAGTTAGGGTTTCACTTGCTGTGAAGAGACTTCAGGACCATGGGAGCTGTTATAAAGAAAAATATTTAAATGGGGCAGCTTAGAGTTTCATAAGTTTAGACCATTATCATCATGTCAGGAAGCATGGCAGCATCCAGGCTGACACTGTGCTAGGGAAGAAACTGAGAGAAAATATTTCATAAATGATAATTATTAAGACACATCAGAGAACTTTACACATGGAGTAATGGATGAAGTACTTTTTCAGGATCAAAATATATTGTTGTTCATGAAAGGAAACCAAACTTTCTGTCCATATGTGTACCTGTCGTCTCCTGGAAGAACTTTTCTTGTGACACCTGAGAGACTGAATGCATTTATAGCCCCTTAGTGGGCTTTTCAATTTTTTGTAGCATTTTTCATTATTTTGAATGATTGTTTCTTATTCTAAGATATGAATTCAAGAGGCTATGAATGTGTCTGCTTTGCTCAGTGCTGTATAAACAAAACCTACTCCAGACAGGATATCAGTTCAGCAGTAGCAGAGGAACAATCAAGGAGTCATCTGACTGTTTGGAAGAAAGAAAGTAGATAGCAAGGACTAGTTCAGTTGCTCAAGTGAGCTGATGGCTCTGGGTTCACTCCTCAGCACCACTTCAACCTGGAGGCCTGAATATGCCTGGAATTCCACACACAGAGGATACAGCAGGAGGCTCAGAAGCTGAAGGTCTTCATCAGCTGAATTTGAGACTGAGCTAGACTACGAGTGTTCTTGTTTCAAATGAAAAAGGGAGAGGACAACGCACCAAAGTGGACCTGATGGAGAGTAGACACATAGGGCAGGAAATCCAGACAAGAAAAGAAAGAAGGGTTGTAGCCATACACAAAGCATCAAAGAGTCACACATAACACAAGCCGAGTCAGTCACACAGAGCACTTCAGCTCTATGAACCAAAGTGGCACACAAGACACTGTAGGCTGGGGATATTTTGCAGATATGCAAAGTTACCATCATTTACAAAGCCAGAAGAAAAGCTATGTGGGTAGAGAAGGGCTAAAGAGACCATACCAGTTTCTAACACCACCTGCAAAACTATAGCGGCTTCTATAAATGTTGGAATGGCCATGGACCTTTAGCAGAAGATTTCAGAAATGGTGGAGTGGACCGCAACAGCAGGCAGCACCCTATGTGCTCCTAACACCTGCACTTCTCAGGCTCACCTTCCTTCTCCAGTAGCAAGTTCCTCAGTGGGGTTAGTCTGTGTGTCCAGTTTAAAAAACGGTATCTCTAGTGTCACCTATCGAATGTCTATAGATTCCTCACAGATAGCTGTATTCCATGTTGTCACCCCCAAATAGCTGAAGACAGGAAGCATTCTGAGATTTCACTGTCATTCGCTGTGAAGAGGAAGATACAGGTCAGGTTGGAAGATCGATCCGAGCCTTCTGATCTTTATTAGCATTTATTTTTCAGCAGTTCTTTGAGAGTTTCATATGTGTCTTGAGGATTCTTGCTTCTCTCCTCTTCCCTGTCCCCTTATTCATTCCTTCTTTCTTATCCATCCAACTCTGTCTCCTTTATAACCTTCAAAACCAATTTTTGCAGCCCAAATACTCTTGGGTGTGTGGACTTCCACCTGAATGTGGTCGACTTACCAGAGGCCATCTCCTCCTCTCCGAGAAGCTACCTGCTGCCAAAGCTATGTGGCTTAGGGTAGAGTAGAAGGCCGAGTTCCTATCTCCACACTAAGATCTTGTCTGGTTTGGGCTCTCACAGGCCTTGTGCATGCTGTTGAACACTATGAGTTCATATGTGTAGCATCCTACTGTGTCCAGAAGACGGTTTCCCTCGTTGTCATCCTCTACTTCTGCCCATCACATTCTTTCTCTCTTTTTTGCTGTAGTGATCACTGAGCCTTTGCAGGATGGGTTGGGTATGCGTGTTCCTGTTAGAGCTGAGCGTTTGCAGTCTCTTGTTCTCTGTGCCTCGGCCATCTGTAGGTCACTGTGTGAACCACCATCTGCTGCAGGGAGAAGCATCTCGGGTGCAATGAGAGATGCGCTGAGCTCTGGATGCAATCATAGATCCATGAGAAGCTGGTTTAATTCTCAGTGGTAAAAGGTTCCCCTAGATCCTGGACCTGTCTAACCACAGGTTCTTCACCTAATAATGCTGCCGGGAATCAGTTTTATCTTATGGAGTAGCATACCTTTGGCTCCATTCAGTTAACATACCTCATGTTCAACAATAGACTCTATTGTAGGCTCAAAGAATAAATTCCATCAAAAAGGAACCAAGAAGCAAAGAGATGTCACTCACTATACCAATAGCTGACAAAACTGACTCAAAACAAAAAAGGTAAAAAAAAAAAGAGAAAGAAAAAATCAGAGGAGATGAGGAGGGATATTTCATATTTCTCTAACTTGATAGTAAGCAAAACTGAAGCCCGGTAAACCGAGAAAGTCAGTAACTGGATAAACCAAGTTGAATGTGGCTTTGCATGGTCCCAGGGTTTGTGCTTTTTATGTGTGTTTGTTCTAACTTATAGATCTAACAGGGGGAAAGAACCTGATAGCAGTCCCTGGGACACCCACGTTCATCGTCTAAGCTACACAATAAATACCATAGCCTGGGGGGCGCTACACAGTTGAAAGCACTCCTCACAGAGGAATGCCAAATCCTAGGTCTGGGTTGTCAGCAGGGTCCCTTTGTTCCTAGATGTTTCTGTTTGCCATGAGGCAGATAACCTTCTTAGTGTCCTCACTGGGCCTTTCCTAGGTTGCTGTCACCTCTTCTTCCTGTTGGGTCAGCAGTAACTTAATTAGGTCTGCAAGTCTATGACCTCATTTAATAAAGTTCTTGTCCCTAAATACAGTCAAGTTAGATGCTAGGATTTGTTGTGGATTAGTACAATTTTGGGTCCCTACATACCATCACATCCTTAATTTAAAAAAAAAAGACAAAACACTGCAGAATACATTTTTTAAAATATTTTTATGTAGTAATTTCACTTTATACATGTTACCATTTTGCCTGTCTGAATATATGTGTACCAGGTACATGTCTGGTATGTGAGGTACCCAGAAGAGGGTGTCGAGTCTCAGAACCTGGAATTACAGGTGGTTGCAAGCATTGTGTGGGTGCTGGAAATTGAACCCAGGTCCTTTGAAAGAGCAACAAGTCCTCTTGGCTACTGTGCTTTCTCTCTTGCACCCTGTTTCAGGAATACTTTAATAACATACTTCATCTAAGATAGTCACGTGAGCACATAGAGCCATATCAACATTAGTCTTTGTAAAAACTGCTGTGATAAATATTGTATGTAGATATTAATGTGCTACGCTTTAAAGGGGGAACAAATGAGTTGAAGACCGTTATCTCTTCTGACAATTTCATACTTCTATATACTGAGCTTATTCCCACCCCTTCTGCTAGAGCTGATTCTTTCTTTCCAGCCCTCTCTACTTTCATGTCTTTTTTTTTTTTTTTTTACTTTTATAAACAGGTTGGCTCTACATTGTCACCTAATTTCCAGACAATTCATCAGTGGTGAATATTGTTTTCAAATAGTGTTTATTTTTACTAACAAAAAAATGTCTAATAATTATTTTCATGTGTAACTTCTGGTTCAACCAGCTGCATTTC